CTAAACATTCATATCCGTAGGTTTCCCAAAACTGCTAGTACCTATAGGATTGTTTGCGCGTTCATTACGATGCAATATGATGGCTTACATCGTACAGACCAATAGTATGTGATTCTAGAGTAAAAGGAAATTGTATCAGAGTTGGTTTGAAAAAGTGACACCTAAACAGTCTCGTAATAAACATACGTATCATAGGAAATAATAGGTCAGATTTATGCTCTATTTGCACAATCACCAGATGCTAAACTCTGAACAAGGTAAGTTTTTGTTGTAGGCGCTTTTCTTTGAAGTCTTCCTTTCACCGGGTTTCTTTTTCCTTTACTTCCGACTGTATCCATGTGCCCTGTTCGTCGTCGTCGTTGCCTTTGGCTTTGAATTTCAGATTGGCTTGCCCCCAAAACCTATTCGCCTGCCTTCTCCTTTCCGATTTCGGCTCCAGCACTGGCTTTTTCCGCGGCGTGCTTGTGACTGGCCTGCCCGACCGACCCAGCTAGTTCCCAGGGTAGGAGCTCGAAACTAGTTCTTGTAGGTATTAGGAATTTTGGCAATCTATGTCCTTTAGAACTGCATAGGCTCTATTTAGGACTGGGTTTTTTTGACAGTAATACTTGTCCAAGCTAAAATTACTAAAGCAGCGTAGAAGACTGCAGTAAATTGTACCCTAGAACCGACATTTTTAGGGTCACCAACTGCTCATTGTAAGATTTTGGCCTAGTAGGATGTATAAATGCTTCTCCTCCAGCTAATTATACGGTTCAGCTTTATTCAACGTACCTGAGGGAAGCTGCGCAGAGCACCAGCTTGTGAGTCGCCGATGGTGGGTGCAAGCAGGTAAGAAGAACCTTTCTTCTTCGAAGAGAGGATAGCGCTGTCCTTAGCATTGCAAATAGAAGGCCATTGGGAGAGACTGACATAGTGGAAGATCGCTTAAGCCGATTGGCTACAGGTGGGCCGCCTTGGGACTGCAGCTGGCTGGCATCCGAGCTTGAAGGCTTGCAACTACGAACCGACTTCGGCCCACAAACAGACGAGAGCCGATGAACGAGCAGCGCGTTTTCGCCACTACTACAGGAGATGGCATCCTTCGGTACCCTTTATCGGCATTAGAGTTGTGGCCCGGACTCTGGCCCGCAACTACCAAACAGAGAATTCCTTAAAAATGCCCTACTACCCTTCCGGCCCGAAGGCGACGCGTCAAATAGTTCAAACGAAAGAGACCAGGCCGTCCCATGGCTACCGTATTGTTCATGCCGGCGGCGGTTACAATCGGCACAGCTGTTACTGCTGCTGCTACGACAGTTCGCCATTGAGTAGATTTTCTATCCTAGGACAAGTATCTTGGATGCCTGTATGGTGGGGGCAAAAAGCGCCGCCACCTAGGGTACAAAATTCAGTACACCATGTAAATTTCCACAAGCGAAACGACTTGCGGCCAACCCAATGGGGCTTTGGCTGACCGCCCAGTGCATTATCGTTGCCGCCCTGTCTCTTCCCTGGCCGGTTCTCTCTCGTTTAGCTTCACTCTTTCATCTCAAATATCGGGAATCAGCATCTGCCTGTTTTTTTTACAAAGACGGCCACTTGCTCGCTATTCCAGCAGCAGTTGCTATTCAGTCGGCACCAGCACCAAGGAAGCAGTCCAGCAAGAATTCAGCACCGTGTCTGAGTTATACGTAAGGGCGTTAGGGTCGAGTTACGTAAATCATGCGTGCCCACGATAGCCGCTGTAGTGGTAGCAGAATAATGCACGAGGTGCGTGAATAATTTCACCATACACAAGGCGACGGCAGCGCCATGCAACAGGTGAATAAGGTTTATCTTCAGATCGTCCTGAACATGCGTCTGTCTCAAGTGAAAGAGCCATAATAGTGAAGAAAAAAAGTTTTAAGACTAAAGTCCGTAACTCTATTTATGAAGTCGTCTGATAGGTACTTAATTTTGTGCTCTAGGTAGGACAGGCGTGCCGGGTATTAGTAGCAACGTAAACAGATGCTAGTAGTCGAAAATTCCGTTCAGAGATGACGAATTTGCTTAAAGCTCTCGTAGTTAATTAGCCGAAATCCTATCTAAGGATTCTGTAATCGTTTGTTGGAGCAATCTTATACTAAGATATGCGTGTATGAATCAATTTCATAACTGATTATTATCAAGAATAATACATTGATAACCGCGTTTTTTGCGGAAAATATTCAAAATACGTGGCTTTTAAAAGTTATTATGGTAGTGAAACTTATTCCTATGTACAATCGTATGTCTAAAAGTGCTGTAATCATCCATTCAGCGCGACCAGTCGCTTGAGCCCAGAATTCTACGCTGACAGGCTTTTGGCTTTAAAAACCTTATTACTACAGCCGTTACGTTTTCTTCGACCTGTTTCCTCTGTTTCTTCGACAAATTAACTCAATGCACGAGGTATCACAGCGACTTCGTATGTAGCCGTTCTTGTCTATTCGATTAAAAAAATGGAAGTTCAAAGCTCAACAGCCACAAAGATGGCTTCTGGGCTTTCAACTTCCCTTAGAACTTGCCCATGTTATTATTCTTAACTTATGTGGTCGACTGTGTTGTCTCAATAGAGTCATCGAAATTAATTTTATGCTCAGCATTTGTTTGTGTCCTACTCATCAATTTAATTTGAAGTGAATGTTTTTGCGACATCGCACGCATATTATGCACTTAAGTTAAAAGTTGAAACTTAAAAAACGTAATATGTTCTTTTGGGTGTGTACTAATAGGTAGAGTAGATATTTTTCACTATATTTAGATCCTCAATCCTCAAGGATTTATTAAGTAGCCAAAAAAAAGCAGTTTCTTGTTGAATTGCTAGGGGCCACTGGGTATACCTTCAATGAGAAAATTAATTTTTACCAGATATTTTAATGATTTTTACGGAAACTTCACACATTTTTTTTTCACAAAATAAACGCTCAAACAGTTAAAACTAATGCGACCATCTACCTTAATGGTTATTTACCTTAAAGGGTTGATTTATTCCCATTTTAAGTAGTACTTTAGGTTACGTGTAATACAAGCAATGATCAAGCAAATGCTACTACTGAGCCCCAAATGAATTCACGTACAGTTCTTGCACGCCATACTTTTTTCCTTTTTTTTTTTTAACCTACTATAATAGCTACCTAAATACACGAATCTACCTTACTTTAAAGTAGCTCCAAATAAGTTTCCTTCCTTCGATGTTAACAAGAGATTTTATTTTGGATTAACTCACAAAGGAACGATGCCAAGAAATATGGTTGATTAGTATAGAAAACTTAATCTATTTTGGTTTAAAAAATGAATTTTAAGCAAATGGATTTACCCAGAAACTTATTTTTCTGAATGTAACTCGCGTCTATCGAAATCCGCATGACTAATCCGTTAAGAGAATATAGCTTGACACCTTGCACCGTATAAGTGTATTTATCAGAAATAGTTGGTGTCGTCTGCTTCATTGTGGCCATTTATCAGTATACGCGATCCTTTTATTTTTTAATCCATCAATTAAAACCCTACACATAATATCAAATATGTTAATAACGTCAGCTCTCTATATATATATATATATAGTTACGTCAATTTTCTTGTTTGCTTCCAGCGACTTGCAACGGAGGCGTGCATAGTTTTACACGCAGCTGAATGTAAGAACACTATTTGTAAATGCTATCTACATTTAAAAATATTGTCTCGAATTTGGAATCTACTATTTTAATCCTGCCAACTTCAGATTATGGACCCTCAGCTACCTATAACAGCATAATCACGCAAATCAATTCAGCTGAGTTCGCGGGGTTTCTGCCTCAGTGTAGCCTATAATACTTTCATACATTACTAACTCTATATGTTCAATGAGGAAACATGCCTGTGAAGTACATTATACAATAGACATCTCATGTCATGTGATTACGAACTTATGATTAACTATACGTGTCTACTCAATTTAGCTTCTCTTCTTCTTCTTCTTTTGTTTATGATAATCCATTTGAGTTATTGTGGTAAAAGCACAAAATCTATCTTGAAAAATAAATTCAGCTTTTCCGAACAAAAAGAATTAGAACCTATCTAATTTCTTTGAGGATTCCATAGCTCAATCCATTTTATTAAATTTCTAAGAATACGCTTAATATTTATCATAGGGTACGTTTATGCAGTCTAAATTTCGCAGATTTCATAAAATATAACTCTAGGTATTCATGATACCATGAAATTTGACTTAATGCGACGGCGTGAACAGTGTTCATCTGTTATCAAAGTTACTCAGTAAGTAATGATCAAAGTTGGTGAAGAGCTCAACAGTTATATAACCACATGTAAAGGGGTTGATGAAACGGGTATTTTAGTTGATATGTGCATAATGCAACGGAGTTTATTTTGAAAAACAGAATGAGAGGAATTCAGGAGGTTGACGCTTACACAGCGAGCTTCGGGTGACATGTTTAGACTTATTTCAATAATGGTCACACAGAACGACCCAACTGGTTAAGTAGCACTCAATCAGCAGAAGTCTTAAAAGAGTATAAGAGCTGAGTTTTGTATCGATTATATAGTAAGAAAGCGCAGAAAGTTTTTAAAACTATGTTTTGAACAAAGTGTCTTAATGTATCACACATAGGCCTCATGACTCACTGCGAGCCCCTGTGAGTTGTTGAATTCAAATATTAAGTCAATTAAATTGATCCTGAGAAAGAAAAACGTTATTGTTGAACTGGGGAGCGAGACAATGTAACAGTTAATATGCACACAATAAGAGTGCAAAATAGCTTTTTTGAAAGTCTTCGATATTTTTCGAAATTCGATTCCAGTGCCGTATTCGCAATTGCTGCGAAGAGTTTCTCCAAAATCAAGTCAATTTAAAATTCGTGCACTCTATTTGTTCCCATTAGTTAACCATGCTGAATCGCCCGCGCGGGCTATCTATTCGAACTCCGCCTCTTTTAAGGCTCCAAACTTCGATAGCAGCAATCAATCGTGTCGTCTGCATTGTTTACGCTGTGTTCGGGCTTTAGTGTTACTTAATAGAGTTGTGGTCTACGTTTACCTCTTCTGTGTCGTGTGCTTGACTGAAGCACTTCTTTGCAATGCAGGGGGACGCCGACGAGCAAGCTGACTCGGGTTTCGAGACACTTTCTGTTCCCGACAGTCCCGCAGTAATGGATTATAGTGTTGGAGATGGAGCCATTGGAGATGGTGCCGTCTATGTGCCGGTTAGCCCCCAGCTCGCCGAAGTCCCTGACGGAGGACAGATCGGTGTTCAGGCAGGCGCCAGGCCAAACCGCGCGGACCTCGAAGAGATTGTCGACGACGATATCGTGGAAACCATTGCAGAGCGGTTATGGGGTTTAACAGAGATGTTTCCCGAAAAGATTCGAAATGCTACTTCAATTCTAGCATCGGCTACGGTAAGATATGAACTTTGGCGAAATGCTGTTAACTGTTCTATTCATTTTTATTTCATTCATATTTTACTCGTCTTCCTTACTGTGAAACTCCCTGCAGCGAAAGAAGTTGACAGAACAAGCTATTATTATAAATTCTGCTGAAAAATGTTGGCCTCTCTAACAATTTGTTCAGTTCACAGTTGGTACAGGATCAGTGCATGAATAATATTTATTACACAAAATAAGAAATATCTTTTAATTGCTGTAGAGTACTATCTGGTCATTCTACAAATGGTTAGCGCGTTGGGTAATATACCACTGTAAATTAATAATTCCATAAACTCGACCGACCCTCTAGAATTAACCCTCGCTGACAACTTCGTTATTCTTAAATTTCAGCATACTGCGGCGGGCAAAGCGTACAGTTTATCGCGAACTCTCATTTGGGTTTTCTTTAGCTCAGCAGCCATTCTAGCTGCGCCGGTGATTTTAGAGCTCGAGCGAGTCAATATGGATGAAATAGCGAAACAACAACAACGAGAAATTCTTCTTGGGCCCAGCGCAGCCATGGCGGGCCATAAATAATGGGTCGTTGACGCGCAATCGCAGAAAAAATCACCATGTGCACCGGTGTCGCTGAGCGGTAGTTTACAGGCAATACGATTGGATAACACTAGTTCTTGGCTTCGAAGTTCTTGCGGGATTCATTTCTTCAGGCCTATTACTTTTCCGAGGCCTGGTGAATATGTAATTATTTGATTTCACACTCGAAATACCAAAAAATAGCATCAGCAGCAATTGTTTGACCACAAAAAGAAATAGAGCGTTTATGAACGAATCTTTCTATTGTTTCTAATTAGAATTTGTTGTCTTTTTTGACGCTCGAAATCTTATGTATGTTGCAGAACCTGGAGAAATGCACAGCTGGAAAAATTTGCTGTTTCCGATGGGTGTGACGTATGACTACACGTTAAAAGAAACAACGATGTGACTGAACGAGCCTAGCGATGCGTCGGATCATTTCGATAATTTCAAGAAACCAATAAATACCTATGTAGAGCATGTAGGAACATCGTACTATTCTACCATTGCGATATTATTAACGAATTACCGTTATTAAAATATTAGGTAAAATCTTATGACACTTTTAGTAACAATATCGTTGTCAATAATTTTTACGGTGCATTGACTAAATGATTGGCGTAATGTGAAGGGGCTGCAAATGCGAGAAGGAAGATACCACTAACAAAGAATACTAATAAGGAAAAAAAGAAACATTCTCTTTTGCGACAGTTTGTTTGAAACTCAAATAAGAAAATCAAATTGAACCAATTAAGAGCCGAAAGCGAACTATCCGTGGTTGTTTTGATGGGGGTGTGTATGAATTTGTCACTAAATTTGAAGTGGTGCTTAGATCTTATGCACTAGTTATTCCAAGGATTTTGAAAGAAATATGTGAGAACTACAATTAAGGTTTGAAGGAAAAACAAATAAACGTAACCTTTTTTATAAAAAAGAAAATAATAAATATGAAAAGATAAATAAACCAAAATGAGGATTTTAATATTGTGAGGTGTATTTATTTAGCAACTTGGTATATTGGATATATTCATATGTTATGAGAGTTTGATACAAGCGCTAGCAGTTGCCTATAATATGTAGTATTCATTTAATTACCAAATTGTTACTAAATTATTATTTAGGCAGGAATAGGTTGGATCGATATAATAGAACGAATTGTGTTTACCTTTCGGAATTTTGTAAAATTTCGATAAAGCTTTGGTACCTTTTACGAATTTCTTCTGCTTTTACGTCTTTCACAGTTTTATCTATTATACTTCATCTATTTTTCTGCGTTTTTAAAAAAAGAAGATCGATATAAAAAAAATCAGAAAAAAATTCAGAAAAAGATTTCCAGAAATAATCCCCAGAGGTAGATCAAGTTGTGGAGGTCGTTTTGAAAACAATCATATTTAAGGAAGATATAATTTTTTAGAGGTCCTTTAGAGGTGGTTGTCACACTTTTAAATAGTGACGACATGGTAAGTTTTTAACGTAAAATTCTGTTTGAATGCTTGAAACGCACTTGATGAATAACAGACACCGCCGAGACCGCTATATAGATATACACAAATATACATTTGCTTATTTCATAAAGAAGAACGCAAACTCATTTCATAATCAAGGAA